ATATATAAACATATAATATAAATATATAAATATATAAATATATAAAATATATAAACATATAATATATAAATATATAAAAATACATATATAATATATAATATATACATATTAAATATATATATATATATATATATATATATATATATATATATATATATATATATATATATATATATAATAATATATATATATATTAATAATATTTATATATATATTATATATATATTATATATATAATATAAATATAAATATATATAATATATATATGTATATATTGTATATATTTATTATTATATTATATTATATTATATATAAATAAATATATATATAATAAAATATATATATATATATATATATATATATATATATATATATATATATATATATATATATATCTATTTATATATTTATATATATTATATATATATAAATATTATATATAAATATATAAATATATATATATATGTATATATTATATTTATATATTTATATTTATATATATATATTAATAATAATATATATATAAATATATATATATATATATATATATATATATATATATATATATATAATAATATATATATAGAATATATATAAATATAATAGAAATGAATATATAAATATAAATATCAATATAGACATTTATTTATTTAGAGACAGACACACACACACATATATATCCATATATACATAAATATCCATACATACATACATACGTATCCATCCATCCATCCATACATACATATCATACATATCCATTATATCCATACAAACATACATACATACATATATATCAATACATATCCATTATATATATATATATATATATATATTATATAATATATATATATATATATATATATATATATACATATATATATATATATATATATATATATATATATATATTATATATAACATTTCTGTATTTGTGTTAGCCACACACACCTAGGCCTAACTGCAGGTCGTACATAGGAAAGGCAAACAACACGATGCACATAAGCCTAACTGCATACATGTAGGCGGGGGTCAAATATGCTTCGGTATTACATTAGGCCTAACTAAATCCAGGAACCTCTCTGTGGCAGTCACGGGAAGAATTAACCACAGTCCAAAGATCACCAATGAAAATTATGCGTGATCGCTCGTGTTGAGAGAGAGAGAGAGAAAGAAAGAGTGAAAATGTAAAATATATCGCAATTGGCATCTCCATAGGCCTCGCTGAAGCCAGGTGAAAAAGTGCTTGTTCATGAATGTGGAAATATGACACGAAAGAGCGGGAGGGGGAGAAGGGCAGAGAGGGAGAGGGAGAGGAGAGAGAGGGAGGGGGGAGAAGAGGAGAGGGGAGAGAAGTGGAGATGGGGGAGGGAGAGAGGGAGAGGGGGAGGGGAGAAGGGGAGATGGGGAGGGAGAGAAGGGGATGGGGAGGGGAGAGAGGGAGAGGGGGAGAGGGAGGGGGAGGGGGAGAAGGAGGGAGGGGAGAGGAGGGAGAGGAGGAGGGAGAGAGGGAGAGAGAGAGGTAGGAAAGGATAGAGGGATGTTAGATAAGAGAGAGAATGGGTGGAGGAGCCAGACGACAAGAGGGAATGCGAAAGAGCGGAAACGAGAGAGCAGAGAACAAACAGACTTTAAATACGAAAAAAAACGAAAAAACAACAAACCAGCAGAAACAAAGACTCTCCCCTCCCACCCCCTCCCCCCCCACCCTCCCCTCCCCGCCTCAGACCCCATACATAACAGAGCCGCGCAGTCAGAGAAAACAGCGAGGGCCTCAAAACAGCGCATCCATAAAATTTAAGCAAAGCGCGTAAAAGTCTGAAATACGGGAAAGGCAAATAATTTACAACTCCGCTCCGACTATAAGAAGACCTCGGCCGCGCTCGGCTACGTGGCGGGCTGCCTCGCTCGCCCCCGCCGCCGCGCCGCCGCTACGGAACCCGCGAGCGCCGCCGGCCACACCCGCTAAGGACTCGCCACTCGCCGCCGCCGCCGCCGCCCCCGCCGCCGTCGCCGCCTCTCGCACTCGCTCTCCTCTCGCTCACGCCCACGCCCTTCATTCACGTTTTTTTTTCCATTCTCGATCTCTCACTGCTGCTGGATTTCGAGTCTCATTCCTGTCGCCACGATGCCCCTCTTTCACACGATTGCCCCGTGTTTGTTTTTTTTCTCTCTTCCTATTTTCTTGTTTTTATTTCTCTCTCTTTTTTCCCTCCCTACCGCCCCCCCCCCGATTCCTCAACGAACGAATACAATAAATTTCAATATCATACAATAGAAAATACAATACATCGTCAGCAACTACAAAAACAATACCAACAGTAATAATAATAAAAATAATAGCAAATATTTGCCACATATATATACATACACAAAACCTTCATCCATAGCAAAAGGAAAAGACAAAAAACTAAATAAATAAATAAAAATTGAATAAAAAAAATACAAATACAGAATCGGACTCTTTACGAAGAGACAACCTCTCTCCCCCCCCTCTCCCCATCCCTCCCTCCCCCTCCCTCCTTCCTTCGAATGAAAAAAAAGAAGAAAAAGAGTGGAATATAAAAAAGAAACAAAAAGCAAGACAGACAAAACTGCATCGGTAGAGAACGACAAACGCAACTTTCAGTTTTTCGGGCCGACCAAAGTTAATAAAAAAAAATACGGGTAAACTAAAAACAAATTTTCATTAACGCTCCATTGAGATGAATGGCTGAAAATAAATTGAAATATAAATCAGCTCTGCGAAGTGTTCAAATTATCGGGGTCTGGCATAAAGGAGGGGTGAAGGGGGGGGGGAAGGAGGAGGAGAAGGTGGAGGAAAAGGAGGAAAAGGAGGAGGAGGAGGAAGGAGGAGGAGGAGGAGGGGAGGGAGGAGGAGGAAAAGGAGGAGGGAAGAGGGAAGAAAGGGAGGAGGAGGAGGAGGACGGGAGGGAGAGAGAAGGAGTGGAAAGGAGGAGATGAAAGAGGAAAGAAGAAGAGGAGGAAGGGAGAGAGGGAGAAAGAGGAAAATGAAGAAAAGAAGGAACAAGAGGAAGAGAAAAAGCGAAAAGAGAAGGAAGAAGAGGGGAAAAACTGGAAGAAGTCGGAGAAAAGTTGAAAGTGAAGGAAAAAGAGGAAAATGTGAAGGAGAAGGAAAAGGAAGAGGAAATATTAGAGGAAGAGGAGAGAGGAGAGGCGAGACGTGGGGGAGGGAGGAGGAGGAGACGAAGGCGGCCATAGAAAACAGGATAGTGGAGCGAGGTAGGAGCGGGGAGGGGGAGGTAGGAGGGGGGAGGGGGAGGAGGAGGAGGAGAGAGAAAGAAGTTTGTGAGGAAATGCAAATAAGAGACGTTGCTATGATGAGCATAACGGGGAAGAAGGGGGAGGAGGAGAAGGAGAAGGGGGGGGGGAGGGGTGACGAATTAACCTAGTGTATTTCGAAGGGGAGGAGGCCTTAAACCCTTAGGGATGGGGAAGCAGGGGAGGAAGGGGAGGGAGGAGGGGAGGGGGGAGAGAGGGGAAGGAGAAGGAACAGACGAAGAAAGAGATAAGAAACTGGGGACGAGGACGCAGATGGAGAACGCGCAGACCTCTGTTCGGTCGAAACGGCTGAAATTCCCGATGTTTACAATATAATAAAGGCAGTATCATCGATAAAGGTAATGACCAAAAGTAAAAATTTATAAAGTAATAATAATAACGCTGACTAGTTCTACTACCATTAATAACGATCTAATAATGATGATAATAACATTACAGTTGAAACAATCACATTAGTAATGACAATCATAAAAATAATAATCATAACCACCACCACAACAGCAGCAATAATAAAAATATCAATGCGACTGCGTATTAAAAGCGACCCTGTTTCTTGACACACTACCTCCCTGGCCATGCGAGCAACACTTGCATAATTGCATAATTAGACACCTGCAGGCGCATTAACGCTCACCCAAGTCGAGTCTCATCATCGCACTCTCTCTCTCTCTCTCCCTCCCGTTCGCATACGCCCGAGTCGTGGACAGATCAGGCACACTTCAACCTACACACCGCTGTCTTCACTTGATCGCCCCCCTTCCCCCCGCCCTTCCTTCCTTCTGTTCTCCTCCTCCCTCGCCCCCTTCCTTCCTTACACCTTTCCTTCCTTACTCCCTCCTACCTCCCTCCCTCCCTCTTTCCTCCCTCCCTCCTTTCACTCCCTCCCTCTTTCACTCTACCTCCCTCCCCTCTCTCACTCCCTCCTTCCTTCCTTCTTCTTCCTCCCTTCCTTCCCCTCCCTCCCCTCCTTCCTTCCTTCTTCCTCTCCTCCCTTCCTGCCTCCCATCCAACTACCCTTTCTTCCTCCTCCCCCTCCTCCTCCACTCGATCTCTTAACTATTCTCCAACTCAAAAATGGATTCCTACTTAAGAGGGAAAAAAGACCCTAGAGTAAAAAAAAAAGAAAAAGAAAAAATACTCAGCCTCACCACCCACAAAAATTTCATTTATTTTTCACATTAAATTCAACGCATCCTATACCATTCTCATTAAGATATGCAAATGAGGTGTTCCTTTTGTGTAATGCTTCTCGTTTATTATCATTATTTCTCGAATCCGTACAAAAAAAGTTCTCGCCGTGGTGGGGGGTTAAGCATCACACACACGCACCCGCACACACACACACACAAACACACACACCTACATATAAATCTATAAATCCATCCATCCATACACCCGCACATGTCCAGACGAATACACTTTAGACAAAAGATACAGATCCATCTACATACACATTCACACAAACAAAACCTGCGCTCAGTGTCAATTCATACAAACATCCGTAAACATTCACACAAACTCCGGCCTCCGCGCCCACAGCCTAATACAAACCCATTTCCAAGAAGCGGCAGGAGACGCACAGGGCCGCAAAACGTCCGCTCAAACGAACGATTTGAAAACACACATTCAGGCGAATGCACGTACAAACAGGCCCAAATAAGGGCCTCTTTCATTGTTCAATCACCAATTGTTTTTGGCAGCAGAAGACAAAAGACAAAAGGAAGACAAACAGGGTATGAAAGATATAAGCGAGAGGAGAAGTTTGCGTCCGTGTGCAGGAGGCTGTATGGTATACTCGCGCGCGCACACATACGTGTGGATGGATGGATGGATGGATGGATGGATGGATGGATGGATGGATGGATGGATGGATGGATGGATGGATGGATGGATGGATGGATGGATGGATGGATGGATGTGTGTGTGTTGTGTGTGTGTGTGTGTGTGTGTGTGTGTGTGTGTGTGTGTGTGTGTGTGTGTGTGTGTGTGTGTGTGTGTGTGTGTGTGTGTGTGTGTGTGTCCAGCTAAAAGCATGCCCTGACCACCTAGACAGTCTGCATACAACCGAATATCCGCACGAAGAGCCCCCAAAGCAAGGGCAGCCCGCGAGCGCCCACCCCCGCGCGGGCCCGGTCGAGCGCCGCCCGCGAGAGAGCACGAGGCCGCCAACCGCCCTCCTGACGGCTACCGCATGATGCCTCCTGTATAAACCGTCGCGTCAGCCTGGCTATCGCGTCAACGGCATATAAACGTTTGTGTGTATGTATGTATGTATATATAAAAAAGAGAATGTTTACGCAAAACCCACTAAACCAGCTTCGACATACTCAGTAACGATAACCCAAGACTATAAACTTATTGGTAATAGCTTGCCGATACAACATTCCGAAACTATTTCTACCTTGGAATTGGCATCATTAAAACCATTTCCAAAACCCTTCTATCTGGATGCACGGCCAAAACGAGAATTTTTACGACGTATATAAAATTTTATAATCTGTCCATGCGCCGTTTGGTGCGCGGGGAGAAAAGGTAAACAACGAGATGTCCGCAGCATCCACAACGCTCGGCCGTAGATGAAGTAATTTCTGGGCCTCCCCCCTCCTCCCTCTCTTTCCATATCCCTCCTCCCCCCTTTTTCCATTTGTCTATTCCCCCCATCTCATTCTCTCTTCTCTCCGTTGGCTTATTTTCTTTACTTTCTTGACGACTGTACGTGTTTTTTTTCGGTCGTATTTCCCTCCGCGTTTCTCGGTCTTCTCGGCCACATTCCCGCCGACTCGAGGGCTGGATTCTGTTCCGTCTTCTCCTCACACTCGGCGATCTTTAATGCATGCCGTCCTTTCCCCGCTGTCGATCTCCTGCCATGCGTCGCTTCCACCTCCTTTCGGTACAACAATTATTTGATCAGCCCCCTTTTTCCCTCTATCTGCCTGTTCCCTCCTCCACGCCCCCCCCCCCCCCGCTGCGTCGAGGGCAATTGTTTACACCTCCTCGCCAAACAACATCCCCCGGGACTCCCTCCGTAATGCGCAGAGCCCTTCCCTCCGCCCAGATAGCATACAGACAGCGCAGGCGACGCGCACACAGACGCACACGAGCAGCAGTAATGCCAAAGATGCCGGGATGGACCTTACAGCGAGATAAGAAGCCTTGACGAGGCCTTTAGAGGTCGTTATGCTCAGCTTCCTAGTTTAAGGTACAAGAAATAAGACATGCGTGTGTTCTAGTTTTATGAGCAGCCAACTATTCGGAATTATTTTTATCCATTGTTAACACGGGCATAAAATGATCATATAAGGCTGGGCACACCGACCGTCAGGCCCTCGGAGGCGCGCGGGAGAGGGACCCGCCGTGGATGCCTTTAATGGCGATTTTATTGTTTAAGTAAATCAAACCGATACGAGGCGCCCCGGCTTTTAAACGCTCGCTGCTATCTTGCCTTCCATCAAAAGGGGCTTCGGCAAGACGGGGCTCGGCGCTCCGGCCCGACGCCGCGGCCAGACACGACCCGAGTAATTGATGAATGGCCGGTTTCTAATTACCGGCCGAGCGGTGATAGCCGGCCGGGCTGGAGTCACACGCACCCACGCATGATAACGGACACACAGCACATGCACACACATACGGACATACACAAAGTTCAGTAAAAATAGGCAGAGAGAGAGAGAGAGAGATACACACACAGACAGGCACGCACACGAACCCACAACCGCATACACAAAAACACACTACACAATCTACACAAAGATCATCGAGATATCTTCATTGCTTGTATCTCATTCGTCTTCTAAATGAACAAACTTATCAACGGCCAGTAAAGTGAAGAATAAATGCCCAGGTTTTGCTGATTAATATTAAACGCACCGCATAAAAAGAGTCTGGGCGATAAATCTCCGAAAGTAACAGAACGTGTTGGATAACTTCCCAGTCCCGGCGACACACCTACGGTCGGGGGAGGTCCTCGCAGGCCAAGTCAGTGTACATAAATACGAACATGAACACACACAGAGACGCAAGCACGGACATGAGCTAAACTTATGCGAACAAGACAAGCAAACGAAACACACGCGAACAAAAACAAATGCACAAGAATGCAAACAAAACTAGACGAGCAAAACAAAGAAAGAAAAAAGTCCAGCAAAGCCTCACTCACACGCAGAACAAAACAAAATAACAGCCGCGCCGTGGACATGCACATCCCTCTCCCGCGTTATATGTAGCTTCCTAATTACGGAGTCCGAACGCCATTAAAACTTACTCCTCTATCTACATTATGTGCTTCCTTATCATCGTTATAATGTCGCATGCAGGCAGTAATGCTCGAGCTTTTATTCTATAACTCAATTCGGCGTCGGCGCCCCTCACGCCTCGGTCACCGGCACGTCGGGGGAAAAAGGGAGGCGTGAAACTGAAACACAAAATGTATAATTTGCGTGACGTTATCGCTATCGACAGATCTCATGCGTAATAAAACGAGGAAGCGATGGCGACGCCGAGAGACAATAATAAATGAGAAAGAATAAAAAAAAGGAGGGAGAGAAAGAAGTGACGGAATTAACCCATAACGGAGACAAACGCCGGTGTTTGGGGCGCATTTTATGTCCACTTCACCTTGTTTTAAAAAGTTCGCCTCCAATGGCAGAGCCGGATTCGGGCGGAGGTGGAGAGGCCCGGGGTTCATATCCCATTCGAGGTGGCGCGCTCTCGTCCATACCGGCCTATCTTGCGTCCACCATATATGCAAATATCTTAATTAAAGTTATACAGCGGGACGAGGGGACCCCCTGGCCATGCTTCGGGTAACAACAGGTATCTGAAGAATTTCAATTAACCGCATCCATACTGATAATCATCAATTTGAGTCCCCCTTGGCCCGGAGATGAACCAATTTGGCGTGAGAGCGGGGATTACTTACTCAATTCTTCACAAGACTGACGCTAAGACGCACCTGCGGAAAAAAATCTACACACGAATATATATCAAGGAATTGAGTGTATCGCACGCTCCCTCCCTCCGACCACGTACCATTTCCGGGGATTAAATTTAGCAAAAGCAATGGCATTTCTTCCCAATAAGAGACCAGTCCATTCTCCTTTATGATATATTCGACAAATGCGATTCATGGCTTTATAAGGGCATTGTAAACGAGCGGCTTTGCTTCTTTGCAGGACGAGGCAAGAATTAGCATCCGTTAAATGACAGTTACAGGGCAGGGCTATCAGCATGATTGATTAATGACCTTCATCCGCAATAAGTAAAAAAACAAAAACAAAAAGAAAACAAGAAGCGAAACAAGGTGCAGAAAAGAGGCCACGTCCATTTGATCAGCCAACTCACCTTTTTTTTCTCCCTCATTTCCTCTATCCCTCTCTTACACGCTACCACCTCCCTCCCAACTCTTCACTCCCCCCACACCCCTCCCCTACGCTTACACCAGTATTCTATCGCCCCCTCCGTTCCTCCTCCCTCCCACTCTGCCCAACTCCCCTGCGCTTGCACCAGTATTCACCCCCCGTCCGTCCGTCGTCGTCCCTCTCTCTCTCCCTCCCTCCCTTCCCCTCTCCCTTCTCCTCTCCCCCCCCTCCCCCTCTTTCTCTCCCTCCCTCCTCTCTCCCTCCTTCCTCTTCTCCTCCCTCCCCCACAACCGCCGCCCGCACCCGCCCTCATTCCCGCAGTGGTCATCACACACACGCCTCAAAGACAAAAGTGCTCCAACAATCAACACCGAACGGCAATAACGGAGACACAATCATGCCCACAAACGACGCGGAAATAAAAATAAACGACTTTCGAGATCATCCCCCAAGATAGCTCGTCTAACACCCACCCCCCTTCCCTCTCCCCCCCCCCTCCGCCTTCCTCCTCGCCTCTCGCTACCCCTTCCGACATTGAGGGGGGTGGTGCTGTCGCGAGGGAACAAAGTGGGGAGGAGAGAGAGAGAGAGAGAGAGAGAGAGAGAGAGAGAGAGAGAGAGAGAGAGGAGAGGGAGAGGGAGAGGGAGAGGAGAGGGAGAGGGAGAGGGAGAGGGAGAGGGAGAGGGAGAGGGAGAGGGGAGAGGGAGGGAGAGGGAGAGAGAGAAGAGAGAGAGAGAGAGAGAGAGAGAGAGAAGAGAGAGAGAGAGAGAGAGAGAGAGAGAGAGAGAGAGAGAGAGAGCGAGAGACAGAGACAGAGACAGAGAGAGAAGAGAGAGAGAGAGAGATCGCGAGGGTGGGACAGACAGGGGGTGAGGGGGGGGGGTTGAGGAAGGGCCATTTAAGACCCGGGAAGAGCTCGTTATCTACCTGGCCGCGATGGGTCCTGGAGGCGCTAACCACAGGTTCATGTTTCCGGCCTTTGAGCGTCCAGCGCGTGCCGGCGGTCCCGTTGGCGGCGCGGGTCGGTCGGCGCCCGCGCTGGCCGCGTCGGGGCGGCCGCTCATTTAGGGCTCTCCGATTTCGCATCGCGGTTTGCACGGGGGGGGGGGAGGGGGAGGGAGGGAGAGAGGAGGGGGAGGAGGGGGAGAGGGAGAGGGAGAGGGGGAGGGGGAGGGGGAGAGGAAGGGAAGTGTGAGGGAGGGATAGGGAGAAAGGGAGGGGGGGAGGGGGCGTGGGATAGGAAGGGAAAGTGGGAGATAGAGAGGAGGGGGGAGGGGGCCGCGAGAGAAGGAGAGGGAGGACACGAGGAAGGAGGAAAGGGGAGGAGGAGGTTCAAAGGAAAGGGGGGGAGTTGGAGAGAGGAGGGAGTAGGAGGGATAGGGAGAGAGGGAGGGGAGGGGCAAGAAGGAAGGGAGAAGTAAGGGGGGTAGAAGTGGGGGAGAGAGGAGAGAGAGGGAGAAAGAGAAGAGAAAGGGATAGAAAAAGCGTGAGGGAGGAGAAAGCGAGAGAGACAAAAAGGAGGAAGAAATAAGGAATAAGTAGGGAAAGGGATTTAGGGAGAAGAGAAAGAGAGAGAGAGAGAGAGAAGAGAGAGAGAGAAGAGAAAGAGAAAGAGAAAGAGAAAGAGAAAGAGAAAGAGAAAGAGAAAGAGAAAGAGAAAAGAGAAAGAGAGAAGAGAAAGAGAGAAAGAGAAAGAGAAAGAGAAAGAGAAAGAGAAAGAGAAAAGAGAAAGAGAAAAGAGAAAGGAGAAAGAAAGAGAGAGAACGAGAACGAGAGAGAAAGAAAGAGAGAAAGGAAGGCGTGAACAGGGAAAACAGCAACTGCCCGGACTTCATTACTTGCGGAGGGGGTG